GAGTTAAGACAGATGACATCAGTCCTAAACTCTTTATCGGTCATCTTTATCTTACAATCCTTGGTGGCCACATTGCTTGTCGGACACGCTTCTCGTGTCCGAAATCACGCGTTGCATTGGTGATTAGGATCTATTCTTGAAAGTGCGCACGAAGCCAAACCGCTAAGGAAATCTCCATGTCCATGGACTGAATAGGAGGGATGATAATGAGTCTATAGTCCGAAAAATGATTGTTCTCTTTTCCACACAAGGTTTATACTCACACTGTTCCACTGTACCGGTGGTGTGGCTGAATAAACTAACGAGTGTGTTACTTTGATGAGCACCGCGCTTAGCTCGAGATTGATTGTTATTCAGATCGGCAGCAGCGGTATTCCAGAATACGGTAAGCTTGAGCTTAACAGCAGCAGAAAAGAATCCCGTAGGGGCTGATGACCAGCAACGATAGACATCAACATTTTCGATTTCAGACTGAGCCGGAAGTTGATAAATATGAGTGTTGGCTCCGTATCTCTGACCATTCATGTATCAGAACTACAACTGAGATTCGCCGAAAAGAGCGAATTCGAAGTGCGGTCAGGAAACGGGTCCCTAATGAAGCAGACGACACCTCACCCAGAGAAGACATGCAGTACTGCAAGGTGAGATGGCTGTGATACAATTCCGAGAAGGTTATTGTGCTCCATACCTAATTCGGAACTGTGGAAACCTAGAGGTGGATAGAATTCGACATGGGGGAATGTTGTTATAGAGACTTTGCGTGCTGTCTGTTGATCGACCGATCATCGTGTAGAAGGTGGATAGTTTTGACAGTGGTTTCTATGTAATCGACTGTAATGATTCACTCGAAACAAATTTATTAGCATTCAATAGGGCTGCTCTCCTGTAAAGTCTCGAGCAGGATACCGATTTGGCCCTAATCCATAATCCCAGACAGAGCGCGGACCGTTTAACCTTTGTTTCGGCTTTTCGTGTCGTAACGATAACTTGGATGGTTCAGGAAATCCGAAATAAATAACAATGGGCAAATCAATGCTCTAAGGTGTTAGTTCGCTCGGTGCTGCTGACTTTCACGGGCCCTCTACGTATGTTTTTCGTGAAAAGAATTGTTCTGGTCGACAGGACTAACTGACCGTTAGTAGTATCCACCGTGGTAGTGGCCGCAAGAATCAGGGTCAGCCTAGGCGGCTAGTCTCCGTTATCTGGGTCCCGCCATACTGGATACCAAGGAGCGAGCGAATACGACGTCGGCGTAGGAGTACAGTTGGGTTCTGTTCCTGTATATTTTTGCCGACAAGTACTTAATGAATATAACTGCTCACGTTTGACCCCAGCGCTACAAGGTTTTGCTCATGAACTTCAGGCACATCCAGTTTCACACAGGGGTGAAGTCATCCCATATCTCTCAAAGCAGGCTGCTTGCACACTGTCAGTACGTCGATAGATTTGACCTTGACTTGACTATATTCGTCCATATCGACTTGTGGATGGGCTCCTCCGGAGGGCCAGGATATCAATGTAGTTGGGTTCTGTTCCTGTATATTTTTGCCGACAAGTACTTAATGAATATAACTGCTCACGTTTGACCCCAGCGCTACAAGGTTTTGCTCATGAACTTCAGGCACATCCAGTTTCACACAGGGGTGAAGTCATCCCATATCTCTCAAAGCAGGCTGCTTGCACACTGTCAGTACGTCGATAGATTTGACCTTGACTTGACTATATTTGTCCATATCGACTTGTGGGTGGGCTCCTCCGGAGGGCCAGTGACGATATCAATGTTGCCAACTTTGTTGCTACACACCGCATAAGATGGTGGAAGGGCATTTCAAAAATATGGAAAGTCTTTTAGCATCTAACGTTTAAATGTGATCGCGCACGACGGGGTCAGCCATTCCGTCGCACAACAGGTTCAGTAGGCGCAACTACATGTGGACATCCCGGGGATTGCGGACCCGGGTTGAAAGTGGTCCCATACTGTTTGGTGGTCCGGGATGGAAAGTTAAAGAAGCAAACAGCTGCACTTCACCATCCGTCGGGGTGGGTGAAGCGGACCCAGAAGCATCAAATGGAATGGTGAACTAAGATGACAAAAATGTGTTAAGTTGCAAGCACATCTGTGACTGTGAAAAGACCTGAATGTGCAATTCAATTTAGATAAAATGATCACAAATAAATAGTTCAATTCTTGTATGAGAACACTCGTCGACAAGAGCTGCATAAGAAGTGAGGAGAGATACATTTGGTTGCGGTATAATTAAGTTTAGGAATGGCTTATAGGAACCGCTCAGCAGTTAGAATTGGGACAAAAGGCCAGACGGATTTAAACCGGGTGACACCCTGGACGGACGATCATGGTAAGTGTGAATTTCAACAGGATGGACGCCTCGCAAGGGGAACAACCCACTATGTCCTCCATTGAAGCAGAAGTTATGCAACGCTCCACGAGTTCGAGTCATTCTCACCGAGGAACCATGCTGATCTTCGCCGTGTCGTTCCAGTTTTAGTGTATGCACTGCCAGAGTACTAGATGCCGCAAAATCTGCTACAGTTAGGCGGTCAGTATTGCAGGCAAGCTACTAGAGCGCAGAAGAGAATTTTCAGGCAGAGAGTCAGAACGCATGTTTGTGAATTCACTCCCGCTTGAGATACCAAATGACGCGGCCATCGGGAAGCTGGGTGGCGAATAGCGTAGGACTCATATGAAGGCGCACCTTCATTGGTGGAATAGGGTTAGTAAGGTCATTGGTTTGCGGGAACTTATCTAATAAAAGCTAAGCTATGCAGATTGGCCTACGGAATTCTCAGGAAAACTGCAGAAAACAAAAAATCAGCACATCTGGCGAGGAGTAACTCATTTCTCGGGTCAATGTGGAATGTATGGGGATGACCTAAAACAAATCTACCATGGAGCGCTGCCCATATAAACCAACGGAAACTATGAATGGACACTAAAGCATGTTTTCCTTCATTCGTTGGATTAGATCTTTTCAACCGTTTTGCCATCCGCCTCAAAACTCAGCAGACTTGACAATTCGCTTAGTTGGCCTGAGAAACCTTTTATCGAGGGGAAAGTTTACCCGACCGTGCCTATCAATACGATGGCTTGGCACTAGGCTACAAACCCTCCTCACTAATAATCAAGCTCCCAGTCTCATTGTAGTTAATTTTGAAAGCAGCAAAATGAGCTTGTGGGTGCAAGAAGAAATAAAGTCTGTTTGAAAAAATTCATTAGGATATCGCTCTTTTTGAACGGTCCTTTCTCATCTGACGCAAACACTCCTGTGATTGCACACCAGGGCAAAGTGGAGCCTCTCAAATTCTCCTTTTAATGGAGCCGATCAGCAGTTCTCAACAGTGGTCATACCGGGTCTGCATTCCGGGTCTTCACTGCGCCAGCGCACGCCTCAGCCGACGAAAGCGTGCAGTCTTGATCGGTAAGATGGAGTTGATTTAGCTTTCGACGGACATCCTGCTGACTTATCCCCTACCCCGGTGGTAGCTGATGTTTGCAGCACCGGCTCAGACTTGCTTGGTTGATGATAATCGACCGAACACCAAGCGACAGGATTACGTCCTATAGAAAAATTCAGGTGAACAATCAGTTGGGGAAGCGGGAATGTCGGTGATTCAGGCAGTTGTCCGGTGAGCCAATCAGTTGTTTCTGGGGTTCCACTTTTTACCGCAACCGATGAAGATGTGTCTAACAATCAACCAATGGTGGATAC